TATGGTCACAACAGGTGGCACAACTTTAAAAGACGACATCCTCCGTCGACAAGAAGCTGTACACGTTGTTGTCGGCACGCCCGGGCGAATTCTCGACCTCGCCAGTAAGGGTGTTGCTGACCTCAGCCAATGCAAAACGTTTGTTATGGACGAAGCCGACAAGCTTCTCAGCCCAGAATTCACAGTTGTTATCGAACAGCTGTTATCATTTTTGCACAAGGATCGTCAAGTCATGCTCTTTTCAGCTACTTTTCCAATGATTGTCAAGGATTTCAAAGTAAATATGATTCCCACTCGCCAGTTGTTCTTGTTGACCTTGAAGCTCAGTTCACACTCCCTTACACCTGTAGGACAAACACATGATCAAGCCTTACGAAATTAACTTGATGGAAGAACTCACACTTCAAGGTGTCACTCAATACTACGCTTTCCTGGAAGAGCGCCAAAAAGTGCATTGTCTCAACACGCTATTCTCCAAAGTAAGTCCGGTTTGGTTGAGTCCAAAACAGCTGAATCAATAATTAACAACGAGTTTGTATTTTTATTGGTTACTAGTTGCAAATTAATCAGGCCATCATTTTTTGTAACTCGACCAATCGAGTCGAACTTCTTGCTCGTAAAATCACGGACATTGGCTATTCTTGTTTCTACTCACACGCCAAAATGCTCCAACAGCATCGTAATCGAGTCTTTCACGACTTTAGAAATGGGGTTTGCCGTAACCTTGTATGCTCCGGTGAGTCTTCAGCGATCACCTTTTGAATACATTTTGCGGACACTGATTAACATATCAAAATATATATATATATATACCGCCTTTAGATCTCCTCACAAGAGGTATAGATATTCAGGCGGTCAATGTCGTTATCAATTTCGATTTCCCCAAAAACGCTGAGACATACCTACATCGTATTGGTCGATCAGGAAGGTTTGGCCATCGCGGAATAGCGATCAACTTGGTGAGTCGTGTGCCAGCGGTCAGTTGGTGGAGGTTGTCACTGACCTCACCGATTCCTCCAGATCACATATGAGAATCGATTTGATCTGTATCGCATAGAACAAGAGCTTGGAACAGAGATTCAGCCGATACCCGCTGTGATCGACAAAGCTCTCTATGTTGCACCTGGGATTGAAGACACCCCTTCAAGCACACCGACACACGGCGGCTCCTCCGTGTCCACTTCCAATGCTCACCAAGCCACTCATCCGAATCAGAGCCAGCAATCTAATCAGGCTCACCGGAATGGACGTCAGACCAATCACCAACCTTCTGACCAGTCGCACGTGCCACAACCGCATGACAAACCCACTCTGCCCCCTCAGCAATTGACCTTTCAAAAAGCTGCACCTATAGACTCGTTGTCTCACGCAACACCCACCGAATATGCCAATGGGGCACCACCACCAAACAGTTCACGTGTGAATAATCACAAGTCGACTCGTGGAGGTAATGGTGGCCCACATCGAGGCAGGGGTGGCGGGGCCCATCGAGCGCCGAGCGGAATCGCTCCGGCAGCTTGATTATTCTATTCCTTTGTCAGGGGATAGTTTCTCAAGTAAATCCCACTTTTTTTTCTTTCAGAAAATCGACTTCGTCGTCGTTCTTTTGCCATATCGCGCAGTACTTTCCTGGGATATCCTTTGAATTCAAGATTTACCTCTGATATCATCTTGACTGACCAATTGTGATGGTCCCGCTTTCTTCAGCTCTTTCAGCACTCGAGCCGTACATCGTCGTCATTTTGCATTTTTGCGATAAAGTTCAACAGTTGTCACAATATGCATTAATATTTCGATCTTTCTACTTCGTCCTACTTGGGTTTTCTAGAGTCATGATTATATATACTTATCCTGCCAAAATATGGTCCCCATCTAACCACTCAGCCAAGGTTTTTTTGCTCTGTGATTAGAAAACTTATTCCATTACCATCTCCAAACTACTTATTTCTTTTCTCCTCCTCACGTCCGTCTCTACTACTACTGCTGTTCAAGTTACGCTATTCTATTTCCCAAGGTCAGCCTCGAAGCCGAAGAACCCTCAGTATAACCGACCAGTGTACAATACTATCCGACTGTTTGAAAACTCGAAAAACAAAAAACAAAATCCAAAATATGTCACTCCCTATCGATGCCCTGGTTCCTCCCTCTTTCAAGGCACCACATGATCACTTCTTATCGACTAGCAGCACCATCATTGCATGATGGTAATCTACCCCAAACGCTATGCCAATCCCTGCTAAGCCTTCTCATCGACCCCCCCCCCCTCTACCGGAATAATCATCCTTCTGCCAGGTCAATCTTAAACCTATCGACCACTCTTATCGTTCACCTCTATCCCCGAAACCCTCATATCCCAATCATCCTATCAGTTTCCCCTGCTACTCTACTTGTGCTTACGGTTCATCAAGATCTTTATCCGATCGATCCATCAACATACTAAGCAAATAGTTCTCACCCTCCTTGCTGTCCTGAAGATTACCATCAAACAGCTGCTCGCACTCTGGATTTTGAAGATCGGCGACAGACTTTCCTATTCTTTTTTCGAGATTAGGTCCCGCCCCTGATTATTACCAGTCTGTCTGATGACTTGGACCACACACACTCGTTCCGCCTCTTTTCCTTCCCATCTGCTCAAAATTTTTTTCCTTGTTTAATCCCATCCAGTATCTATCGCTTGTGAAGACCTAGAAGAACGAGTCAATCAGTTTGTGATCCCCCTCATCTAACTGTCGTTTCTTCTTATCCCTATTGGTGTTTTCAATGTCTAGTTAGATGATACGTTGTCATTCAGTCAAGTCACTTGCCCAGTTGTGTTGTACCCCCCTCGAATTCCCTTCCACGTCCTGTCTACTCAGGAAGAGATGAGTTCTACCATGGTCGTCAACTTTTGTGTCTTGTCGGTTTATCCCCTTACCCCCCCCCCCCCCCTTCTGTCTTCTTCCCCACCATATCTTAAGACTAGCCCAATACACAATGACATTCATTTACCCCCCAATATCATATTGAGCTTTATAGGCTTCGATGGTCTGCAAGCCTTACATCCTTGCCTTACGATCATGTGGTCTGAAGCTCTGCTCCTGTTGCAGCAATTTTGCCTCGACAGTGCTGGAACTCGCACTGTGGTCCTCCACATAGAATACAGCGGATTTGAAAATTGAGATTGTATACCACCCTTTTCAGATTAGGTACGCTGGGGGAGATAGGTTGGCCTTGCTGGCCAAGTCAGACTCTCTGACGGGGGGTCACATTTCCGTAGGTTTCCCACGGGTCGATTAGCTTAGTCGGTAGAGCGTGGTACTAATATCGTCAGCTGCCTGCAAAGGATGTCAATGCCAAGGTCATGGGTTCGATCCCCATATTGACCAATAATTTTTGAAAACTCCAGGGCGAATTGTGCTGTTTTTTTTTGGAGCTTTGCCCTGTGATGCAGACAGGTTTCAAGTTTCTTTTGTACTCGATTGGGGTAGTGTAAAATTACCAATCAGTTTCAATTTGGGTACCAATAAAGTTTCTCCCTCAGTCCTACACTTGTGGAGAGTGGAGTGGTGAAACATTTCTTGCCTTGCGCCGACCGGAGGCCTGCGGGACAGCGTCCCCCCACCAAAGATAGAGGGATTTGTTCGCTTCGGGCCTATCCATTATTCGTCCGCAGTGTGACTGACACATCGGCTTTAGCGATTGAACAACGTCCATCGAAATCCTGTGCCCATTCAACATAGACATTTTCTTTCATGCTTCAAATATGTCCAAGGTCGTATCTCTGCAAGCTGTAAAGAAAGTAATCATATTCACGATCGGGATCCATGAAATCTTGAAGGATTCATTAGGACCAGCACTTGTGGCGGCGAAACCTATGCGGCCGCCTTGGAGAGATGCTTCGATGATGAGCTCTGCAACTTCAGATCAAAACGGGGCGGCAGTTTCTGGGATGGCTTTTTCTAATCACCACATCCCCGGGGCGACTGTTGTTGGTACAACATTGGGAACGGTTATCAGGCCGGTAGTTTCAGTTTCCTGGCTGGTGGAACCAAATGTGCCCATCTATTGGGTTGCATCTCGGGACGGTGGAGCGGCTCATCAAATACCGACTGGTACTACTGCTGCTGCTGATCACCCAAGAAGATTGCACTCTGAGCTCTCCACTCTTGCGCCACCTTTCATACCCGAAGGGATCCCGTCTGGAAAGCCATCTTCGAGACAACTCCATCATGGATCCTCGCTTGGTTCTCCTGCAAGCCAAAGACCTCATCGCCCCACTAGAAGCCATTCCCATGCAGAAAGGTAAATTCAGCAGATTGTGTGAATCAATGACAAGAACATGATTTTTCTGAGACTATGCACCTCTTGATCCTTTTCAGTTTTCAGTCGTTGGTTAGTCAAAAAGAAGGAGGCGCAGTTGGAGTGAGTGCGGCGCCTGTAGAGAAACCAATCCGTCCATCATCTCCTGTGAGGATTTGGAGCCGGAAATTGGGAAAGGAAGGGGCATCAACTCGAGAAAGTCAGACTTCCTATCGCACGGCTCGGGCAACTGGTGGTGGTCGAGATCTGCAAGTCGCAGCCTCGGAAAGCGCTCTCGGTCATTATATTCCAGCCCTGGAATCCATCGCAGAGGGTATGGGGCCGAATGATAAGCATGTAAGGACTCTCTAGTCAGAATCCGAGCCTTAATCCAGCTTTAACTGAATACTAAATGAATGCGTGGGTCCAGGAATTGAGAAGTAGCGCCTGCGAGTCGCCCGGGTATGTCAAGACTGGCGACATCAAATTAGGGTCCAATGTGATGGATCCCCCTAAGAACGATGCGCTCCCGGATCGCCAGGCCGCTGATACCAGGTAGGTGAACATGTGTTTTCAGGTTGGAGTGGATAATTTTCAGGGAGAGTTATTCTGATACTCTTATCGTTAATCTCTCTTGCCCTCTTGGACTTATTTACTTCTAAACTGTGTCTCCCGTTGAGTTGAGTTCATTGTCGTCATCCGTCAGCTTTCCCCAAACGTCAGTGAAGAGTATGAAGTATCCTTCCAAACAGACTCGTTCACCAGTTGGTTCACCCTCTGGAAAGATGGCGGATATCCCCAAATTAGCTGAAAGCAAGCAAGAATCCACACATTCGCTAGCTCCTCCTAGGATTGCAAAGCCAGTTGCTCAGCCCCAGACGACAACAAGCTCTGCTCATTCTTTGGCCAGCTTGTCTCATCATCCAGCCCAGGAATGGAAAGTTGTTTCTCATTATAAAAAGGGGGCAGCTAGAAGGATCCCAATAAGGCCAAGTCACTCTAATATAGAAGGCCCAGATAAGATCAGCTTGTTATCTTCCCCAAGATCCCCAGATAAACAACAGAAATCGGCTCAGACTATTCGAGAAAAGCTACTAGAGTCGTCGCAATCTCAAGATCCTCAGGACTCAAGCTCTGAGCCTGGTTGGATTTCTGGAAATGTGAAGGACGATTGCGGTCCTAAAGAAGGAATGAAAAACGGAAATTCAGGTCAAGATGTAAATCATCAATCCTTTGTTTCCAATGGAATTCAATTTGAGTGAGTGGTCAGGAATGTCTGCTGATATATACCCTTGAAAAAAAAGAAAGGAAAGGTGCTTACTTGTGTCATCATCTGATCATATTGATGTTCATTAGACAACCCGATCATCTGAATTCATTAATGGTTATTTCAGGAAATCAAGGAAGAGAGAATCAACCTAAACCAAAAAAGTGACTTTATTTATTTATTTTTTTGATCATGATTGTTTTTTACTTGATTGACATTTTTTTGCAGAAGGATATGTTGAGTGATTTTTTGTTGATAAAATTTGATTCTTTTGGATCAGAAAGAAGAAGAAGAAAAAGCCGCACATTGAGTCGGGTCAATCATCAAACTTGGGAAATTTGAATGATTCTTGGGAAGATGATTTGAACGAGTTCATCGCATCTGCTGATATTGAGGAGAATCAAGTTGACAGAACTAAAAATACCAATAATAAGTAAGTGTTTCTTTGTTTGATTTATTGATTTTTTTGGGTATTTGTTTCTGGTAGTTTATTCAATAATTTTCAAATGGAAACAAAGGATAAGCAAGTTAAAAGGAGACAAAAAGGCTATGATAAATTCCAAAACAATGGGACTAAATGAAAGCAAGGTAAGGCAAAGTCAAAGCATAATCTCTTTCAGGTAGAATGAACTGAAGTATGCACTGATTTTGTTTTGTAAAATGAAACAGTTTAGCTTGGGTGTGAACAAAGTGATTGACTTGCAATCAGAGGATCCTCCCAAACAGCCATTAACTGCAGAAGGATGTGTTGAAAGGGTATTTGAAGAACTTTTCACAATTAAGGAGGGCAATAAATTGAAATTAATTGAAGACAGTTGGAAGGATTTTTCACAAAAGCCACCTTTCAAAGACTCCAGAAGAACCCATTTGGTGAATGTGTGGGATCAGAAAACAATAAGGATTTGGGAGAAAAACAAGCTTGATTTGAACTTTATGCACCATCTTTGCAAGCATCTCAGATTGAATGAAGGTGAGAATCATCTCGGACTAAAGAGACTGGAAGATGAATTGTTCAAAAGGATTGTCTTCTATGGGAATCAAGAAAAAGACTTGATGTTAAGAGTTTACAAAGTCTTAGTGGAGAGAATGGATGAATATGAAGGATTTAGAAGGATGGTAACACTTTCAAAGCAAGTAGCACAAGAAATGATTTCAAGGATGAAAACTCATGTGCAAAATTTGAAGATTGATCCAAGCTTATTTGAAAATTCTAAATCAGGAGAATATGAAAAGATCTTTGATATCTTTGGTTCCTATGGACTCAATCAAGATTTGGAAGACACCAGAGGATATTATTCATCACACCCAATAAACGTTTCACATCCATTCCCATTCTTCTCATTGAAATATCCAGAACTGGGAACCTGTAAGAGTGAAATTTATAGCCATATTTGTGGTGAGAATGAATACAGAAGCAGAACATCTCCAAGGATTCATTTTACTTCACCAGAATTCATCAAGTTGATTGAGGGAAGTAAATATGGACAGGTCTCTCAATCAGAAGATTTACACCAATCATTAAGCTCAAATGGGCTCAACTTGAATAGACTGTTGACAGTTGTTCTGATTCTTGGATTAGAAGAAAAAGAGGGTTCAAAACTGGATGAAATTCCAGATGAATTGGTCTACTACATCTCCAAAGTTCTGTTCAAGATCCTCTCACCCAACAAATACAGTTTTTTACCTTGGGATGCCACAGCTGAAAGGAAATGGATATATAAACATTACAAGAAGGAATATCCTATCAAGTTCAAGGCTTTGACATCCAGATTGAAAGCAATTAATCCAATCCAGAACCCCAAAGATCCAACGCTTTGCAAGGCATTTTACTCTGAAGCTGAGATTAAAGAAATTGAAAGTGTCAGCAGACCTCTAGATGAGATTGATTCCAAGTCCAAATGCTTAGAAACTGATCAAGAAATCCTGGATGTTGAGTCTGAGGCACCTGAACTGATTGCATATATGTTAGAGGGATTTGAATATTTGTTGTTTATGAGTATCTCTTGGAGCAACATGTAATGATTTCTGGCTGAAATCCTATCTGACATCTGAGTAGGTCTGCCACTAGAACCTCATCAGATATCACAAGAATTGCAACAATTATAATTGTATTTCTGCCAGTGCCAATGAATATTGGTCCAAGTTTATTTATAAACTTAACACACCACTTCTTTGTCTCAATGCATAAGCTTTATTTAGTCTCTGGAATAAATTTGCTGCTCCTTTTGTTCTTTCCTTTTCATAGGCAGTAAATGAAGACATTTTGCCAAAAGAAAAGAGAGAGATTTTTGAACAGACTCAATTCAGCATTCTTTTTTGGGGAACTCAAAAGATGGTGCTGGGAATTTAAAGAGTAAGATCCAATGATATTTTTTTTTTTACTTAGAAGAGACTAGAGGTTAAGTAGTCTATGTACAAGAGGTTCAACTATGGTATTCAAAGTTGAAATGCATGAAATCATAACCACATAAATCATAAGATCTTAAAACCTTGTTTGCAGGGGATCTTGGTAATCTGATTATGTAAGCTTTGGCTTTCCCAGCCAAAATGTTTTATGATTATATGATTTATGCACTCTATGATTTCATGCATTTCAACTTTGAATACCATAAACATGTGGGTGAGAAAAGATTGGCTATAAAAATTGATATCAAATGATCATATGCATGAAAGGATGACAGGAGGATATGATTATTAATAAAGACTAGACCCAGGTTCAAAGACTATATACAAGGATTTCAGCACTATATAATATGACAAGGTGCCACTCAGACAGTTACAAAACATAGAAGAATTATGTATATTATTTTGTATAAAAATTGTCAGTTAAAATAAGAGTAAGATAGATTTTTACTAGCAATGAGAAGGAAAGAGTCTAAATTCCAACAGTAACTTTAACTATTCACTCTCATAGAACATCCCCTGCTTCATCCATAACTTTACCTTGTCTTTATGGCCTGAATCAACTTTCTCTTGGCCCACTCCATCATAATTTATACTGTTAGGATTACTCACTACCCATGGCTGTGTGGTTCTTGCAGACCAACCACAGTGAAAAAATCTCAGGGAACTGCTTCCAGTTGACATGCAGAAACTCTCTTCAAAGTTGGGCTGTTACTCAAATGTTATAACTCAGCCACAACCTCATCCATACTTCATTGCACATTTACTGTGGCACTGTGCAGATATTCTCACATATTAAAAAGTTTAACCTTAAGCCACAAACCTCCCCCAAAACCAAGGTATCACAACTTGTGATGGCACAGGAGAAATCCATTCTCCTGTTGAACCTGGCTTGCTGTTGTCTCTCATCCAATTGGTTTTCTTATATATCTTTTCACATCTTTTGTTCCCTCCTCTTCTTCTGTGACAATCATGCCAATGTCTGAATTTTCCTAATGCAATCAACTTCTTCTGTTGGCTCAATTTTTGTAATGAAATCACATATCACATTTCTTTTTCCTTTCACCTTTCCAATCTGAAAATTTGCCTCTGCTGATGCCCAATATTCACCCTAAAGTGTTCTCCCCAATATCCTTACCCTCTGGCACTTGCCTATTAGGCTATTATATCTCTAGGCTTATGCATCTACCATCTCATTCCAGTCATTACTTCAACTTTTTTTTCTTCCGTTCCCAATTTCCTAATGTTCCTTTAGCACAATTTGCTATACCCGGTGTCATGTGTTTATTTCTGTGCTTTGCCACGTCTCTCTTCACTGAGAATTCAGTTTATTATGTGTCATCTTTGACTCTATATAACTTGAGCTTCCTGATTACATCCTGTATCCCACCTCATTTTTGTCTGCCCTTTAGTTTTTGTGCTTAAATTCCTATTGTATTTGAGTTGCAACATAATTCATCCAAGGCAATCAACTCATAGAAGGACCCATTTCTGTCAACCCCAAAGGCTCCACCCAACAGGCTCCACCAGGGGAAATCCCAGTGCACTGGACTGCCAGTGACTGCAATTAAGCAATACTTCATTCAAAGTTGCTCAAAAAATAATTTGGCTGGAAACCAAAATTCTCATTAAATTCAATAAGTCAGAAAATGAGTTGACTTTGTTTTTCACTGAAGTAGAAAATGAATTCACTCATAATATAATATGAAGTTCACTTGTATTTCCTGCAGAACTTATTTTTTGATTCACTGGGCATTTTAGTTTTTTTTTTTTTCTCATGATATGATAATATTAAAGGGCCATCAGCAAGAATCACACAATCTGTAGACTCTGTAGAGTTGAATTAGGCCTTGAAGGCCAGAATCCCTCACACGCATCTGGAAGTTTTGGTCCTAGATCAACATTGGCAAGGGACACAGATTTGATGTGCAGACCTCCAAATGTAGGAATTACTATCAAAATCTGAGGACCCTACAGATTTATCATTTAATCTAGGGCCTTGAGGGCCAGATTTTTTCTGAAAAAAAATATGAACTCTTTAGTTCTTGATCAAAATCTGTGAGGACTTGAAATTTTACAGAACTTCTGCTTATATATTCAGGGCCTGTACCACAGCCTCAATTTTCAGGTGACTTCCCAATTTCCAGGTTGGAAACTGACTCTGCCAGAAATGGTGACCATATACCATGCACACCCAATTTTGCACAGTGCAGAAGAAAGATTTTCAGTGCCAACCCCAAAATGAATTTTGGTTGGTGAAAAATAAAAAGATAAAAAATGGAAATGGAAATTGGCTGAGGTGCTATGGTACAGGCCCTTAGGGTGCAATCATTCTTAAACTTTTTCAAATTTTCTTGCCATCTTCTCACCAAACCGGTAGCATTTGACATGCAGGTTACCCCCAACATAATTTTTGTCATTTTGAATTCAATTCTAATGCAAAAAAATTCTGCACAGTAGATTTGCATTGTAGTATGGCTGAATTAATGATTGAGTAAAATATGAGTACTAGTAGCAACCCAACTTTCACAAGAGTTTCTGTATTTCAAGGGCAGTTTCCTGAGGTTTTTCCACAGTGTGGGGGAATTGCTCCCAGAAAATGATGACTTGTAAGAGTTATGATGTTCAGCCAAGGCCATCATCAATCAACATTCAATGTTTTTGAATGTAGGGCTTCACACCAGTATCTGGTAGGTGGGGCCATATCCTAATGCATTCAGCCCCAATTTAGATTTTGTATGTGGATCCACATGTCATTGTTTGATTAGTGGAGGGATAGACCAAATTTTTGATGTGGGAACACAACTGGTTTTTTTATTTCTGATTTTGGCTGCCAATCAAATATTAAATCAGCTAATTCTTTTAGTTTGCAAACAGCTTTCATCAGGAGGTGGGTGAGTAATTTTAGGCCACTCCATGAAAGATATATGTTTCTACATGTCTGTCTCCTTGCAGTGTTCAGTTTGTTCTGTATGTACGGTGTTGAAGGTGATGGCCTGTCTGATTATTGATGTTAATGGTAAGACATGTAGTC